AAAAAAAAAAAAAGGAACAAGGGGTTTCTCCATATGATTTAGTGAAGACCCAAATCCGGAATAAAGTTAACATTATTTTCCAAATTCTGTAAAAAAAAAAAAAAAAAAAAGGAAGCAGAGCGAGGAGGAACTGTGGTGTCCACCCTCAGCGCCCGCCAGCATTCCTTCTCGGCCCCTTCTGGCTGTTGCTCCAATGGCCAAAGCAAGCCTCGGGCAAAGAGGCAGCTGGACGCGGACAGGGAGCCCTGCACGCTGAGGCTGCGGGTGCAGTGGACACGGGCAGTGTCTGCTGTGATGCTCAGGAAATCAGGCGTCTCCATCAGCACTGCCTGGAGAGAAACAGAGTCCTGGGCTAGTTCTCAATATTCCTAGTTGGTAGAGTGAAGCTGGGCCCTGGGAATATGTAGTTCAAAGTAGCAGGCGTTCCTGCTGCATGGCTCAGTGCCAGGCACTCTGAGAGCCGCTGAAAATAGAGCTGTTAGGAGGAAAACAGTTCCTGCTCTACAGTCCTTACAAATAAATAGATGATCCCAGCATGAAGGAGGCTGAGGCAGGAGGATTGCCACAAGTTGGAGGCTAGCCTGGGCTACATAGTAAATTGAAGGCCCCTCTGAACTACACAATTAGACCCTGCCTTTAAAAATAAAAAAAAAAAAAACCCAATCAATCAATCAGTCAATAAACAAACAGTGAGGAGTTTGAAAAGTCAGCAGGCTTTTTATGTGTGACTGATCTCAAAGCCGTGAATATAGAAAGTGTCACTCAACTCTGCACACAACAGAAATGGTCCCTGAGCAGATGGGGGCGTCCTCACTGGCCTCTGGCCACCTCCCATGAAGCAAGGCCAGTGGGCTCCGTTCCCACGGGGAGGTGTCCACCCTGGTCCCTGGGTTTCAGGTGACCATCACCCTATATGGCCTGGACGGAGAGAGCGAGCCACACCGCCTGGCAGACCCCGCGTCCCCTGGGTTGGAGCGCGGAGGAGTGGACGTCTTCCTGCTGTCCACCCTGTTCCCCCTGGGGGAGCTGCGGAGTCTCCGGCTGTGGCACGACAACTCGGGGGACCGGCCGTCCTGGTGAGTGGGCAGGGGGATACTCAGGCTGGGGCGAGGCCCCTGCTCCGGGCATGACGGATCCCCATTTCACAGATGAGGAAACCAAGGTCCAAGAGGCCCTGGGCCTGCTCCACACCGCCCGTCAGTAGCTGGGAGGAGGTGAAGGGCGCAGGCTTGGTGTCCACCCTCAGCAGCATGGACCTGAGACTTGCCCAAGGTCACACAGCTAATCCAGAGCAAAGTCCTCCCTGAGGCTGACGCTAGTGGCCTGGGCAGGAGGAGCCAGTCCGAGCAGCAATCAGCAGCCGACGGCGTTCATACCGCTGTCTGTCATGCACTGAGGGGCTAAACATCCGTACTCCGAGGGCCTCAGCTATTGGTTGGCTCCTGGGAAGCACAGGCTGAGATGGATGTGAGAGAGCAGAGAGCCTGTGAAGCGGGTGCAGGGAGAACAGCGGGGTGGGAGGCCGGGGGATGGGCAGAGGGAGACAGAGAGCTGTGTGCGATGCACGCTGGTGTCAGTCCAGCCCCTCCCTAATCCCCAAGTTCTGGAGCCGCCTCCCATTGGATCTAGATGCCCAGGTCCTGCCGGGTGTGCTGTACGTCCAGCACTCAGGAGGCTGAGGCAGGAAGATCACTGCAAGTCTGAGGCCAGCCTGAATTACATAGTAAGACCCTGCTCAAAACACCAAAACCTAAAACAGGTGAGCCACCGCTGGGTCCGATCTCATATGCCAAGCACGGCGACTTCACACCCTCCCCAGGCCTTGGAGACCTGACTCAGGTTATGGGACACCCAGAGTCCCTGAGCCCCACAGAGAGGGTGGCCTTGCAGTCTAGGTGGTCTGCAACATCACCAGTCCTCTGTGTGCCTGCCCGCACACAAGCTCTTCCCGTGCTGGCTTTGCCCGCTCAGGGCCCCGCTGCCCCAGCTGGGGGCCCCAGGCAGATAGGGGCTCACAGCTCCCAGGGGCGCTGCCTGAGCCCCCCCCCCCCATGGAGCTCCAGCTCTGACCAAGGCAAGGGACAAGGAAGGGACACGCAGTGTCTGCAGGTCCCCCTTTCTAGAGGTTCAGGTTTGTAAAGGTGTCCAAGGAAGGCTCACCCCCGCACCTGGGCCTCAGCACGCTGGGTCCTTTCTCCAGGTACGTGAGCCGGGTGCTGGTCCACGACCTGGCGACTGGCCAGAAGTGGTATTTCCTCTGCAACTCATGGCTGTCCATCGATGTGGGAGACTGTGTCCTGGACAAGGTGTTTCCGGTGGCCACGGAGCAGGACAGGAAGCAGTTCAGGTACTTCTTAAGCGAATCTTTATTTCGCTTTTTTTTTTGAGACCGTCTCACTATGGAGTCCAGGCTGGCCTTGAACTCACGGCGATCCTCCTACCTCAGCCTCCTGAGTGCTGGGATTACAGGCGTGCACCACCACGCCCAGCCTCCTCCTGTCTCCTGAATTCCTGTCCCTCTTCCCTGCCCCCCACAGCCACCTGTTCTTCCTGAAGACGTCCACAGGCTTCCAGGAAGGCCACCTCTGGTACTCCATCTTCAGCAGCTCTGCCCGGAGCCGCTTCACGCGGGTGCAGAGGGTGTCCTGCTGCTTCTCCCTGCTTCTCTGCACCATGCTGACCAGCATCATGTTCTGGGGGGTCCCCAAGGACCCGGCTGAGCAGAAGATGGACTTGGGTAAGTCCTGCTGTCTGTCGTCCTGGACAGGGCTGTGGCCGGGGACATCAGTGTTGCCTGCCCAGGGACGCCACTGCAGCCCCAGTTCTCTTGGGGGCTGCCCGAGGTCACCATAGCCGAGCCTCTGCGTGGCTGTCCTTGACCTCCAGCCCCTCCGGAGGTCACGCGGATGCCTCGTGGCCTGGGCCACCTTGTCACACTGTTAGCACAGACTACCTGGTGTGTCCAGGTCCCTGGTAAAGGAAGACACCTCAAGCAGGCGCTGTAGCCAGGGCTTAGCGGGGACCTCCCGCGGCTGCATCTGCTGGTCCTTTGTGTGCGGCCGCCTGCTGGCAGGGTGCTGCGGACAGGGCTGTGGTAACCGCCTCTCCTTGACCCTCCTGCTCCTCCCCAGGGGACATCGAGTTCACGTGGCAGGAAGTGGTGATCGGGCTGGAGAGCTCCCTGCTCATGTTCCCCATCAATTTCCTGATCGTCCAGATCTTCCGCCACGCCCGGCCTCGGGGCGCGAAGGAGCAGGAGGCTGGGACCCCCACCCTAGCCCCGTCACCACAGCCCCTGGACGATGGCCTTGTGACGCCTGAAGCGGTGACCAAGGCAGGTCCCTAACTTCAGCCCAGCGGGAGTGGTGCTTTTCTTCTTTCTCTCCACCCTCCCCTGCCCCACCCCCGTCCCTCTGTCTCTGTCTCTCTCTCAACTGCTTTTTCCCCAGTCCTGGGGATTGAACCCAGAGCCTTCTCACTGAGCTATATCACCAGATCTTAGTATTTTTTATTTTGAGGAGGGGTCTTGCTACATGGCTAAATTGCCTAGGCTGGGCCTAAATTTTTGATCCTCCTGTCTCAGCCCTCCAGAATCCCGGGGTCATAGGTGTGTACCCATCATACCCTTGCTCTCCTTTCTCTTGCAGGCTGGGGATCAAACCCTAACCTCACACATGCTAGGCAAGTGCTACACCACTGGGCTACACCCCCAGCCCTTTCTTCTTCTTCTTTTCTTTCTTCCTTTTTCTTTCTTTCTTTCTTTCTTTCTTTCTTTCTTTCTTTCTTTCTTTCTTTCTTTCTCTTTCTTTCTTTCTTTTTCTTTCTTTCTTTTTCTTTCTTTCTTTCTTTTTCTTTCTTTCTTCCTTTCTTTCTTCCATTTTCTTTCTTTCTTTCTTTCTCTTTTCTTTCTTCCTTCTTTCCTGTTTCTCTTTCTTCCCTTCTTTCCTTCTATCTTTCCCTCCCTTCATACCTCCCTCTTTCCTCCTTCCTTTGTTTTGAAGGGTCTTCCTGAATGGCCTTGGCTGGCTTTGAATTTGCGATCCGCCCAAGTAGCCGAGGTCACAGGTGTGCACGCACCACCCTCCCAGGTACCCCCAGCTTTCCCCGTGCGTTCACCGTGCGCCCGCCCTGCGGAGCACACCTGCACCGGGAGATCTCAGCAGGGACGGCACGGGCACTCAGGGAGGTCAAGGCCACATCTCCGTGGACAGAACTGAGGCAGACGCTTGTGACCCCGGGCCGCACCCCCTGCCTGCAGCTCACCTCCCGTCTCTGTCTGGTCTCCCTGCAGGACACGCGGCGACTCATCAGCTGTCTGTGCAGAGCCCTGAAGCTGCCCTCGCCGGCCTCGGGCTGGGACTCTCTGAGCTCGGTGGACATCAACACACTGCTGGCCTTGGCGGAAGACATCCTCTGCCCTCAGAACCCAGCCGGGCAGGGACGCCGGGAGGAAGCCAAGGGGAGAGAGGACGCCTTTGCCGTGGCCCCCGGGTCTGCGCCAGTGACAGGTACACACTGGCCACCCCTGTGCCAACGGAAGCAGCTTCCGGGGCCAGGTGGCGACTCGGGGCCGTGTCTGTGGCCTGGTGGGTCGGGCTCCGGCTGAGCCTCCCAGTCTGCACCACGCCACCCGCCGTCCCATGATGCCACGCTGCACACGAGCTACTCTAGACTCCGCTTTCCCCTTTCTCTGCCTCAGCCTTTACTCCCCTGGGGCGTGGGCCTCTGTCAGTGCCTTCTGTCCCCGTGCCTCTCCTCACACTCACCTGCACCTGGCCGCACAGTGAACCGTGGGACGCGGTGTTTAAAGTCTGCGCCATCCTGAGTCCCCGAGGTGGGCGTCCTCTTGCCTCCCCTCGTCTCTGTGACGGGCTCCTCTGTGACCTTGGACAGGCTGCCTCGGTTCTCTGAGCCTCGATTTTCTTCCTGTGAAGTGTCAGGGGCTGCAGCGTTAAGCAGGATCTGTTTCCGGATGTGTGGGGCAGGACCCAAGATGCAGGATGATGAGGCAGAGGAAAGACGTGAATCACAGGCCGAAAACCTTTTCTCTGTTCCCTTTCAAGTCTCCTAATTAAACACGGGTGTGGTGGTGCACATGCAAGCCTGTCATCCCAGCACTGGTGGCGGCTGAGGCAGGACAATCATCGTGAGTTTAAGGCCAGCCTGAACTGCACAGCAAGACCCTTCCTCAAAAAAAAAAAAAAAAAAAAAAAAAAATCTGCACTAGATAACAGTTCTGCCAAGTGGGAAATACCAAAACACAAAGGTTTAAAATATCAACATTCACCACAAAAAATGATAAGTATTTGAGACAGATATGCTTACCCTGATTTGAAAATTATACAATGTATACATGTAGCAAAACATCACATGGTAGCCAATAAATATGTGTAATTTCTATGTGTCAATTTAAACTTTTTAAAATTAAAATAAATAAATTTCTACATCCTAGTTACACTATATGGCCTAATCTTGAACAAATTACCAAACTGTCAAAGGTTTTCTGCATTATAGAAAATACTGTATGACTATGAAAGGCTGCATAGTATAATGGCTAAGAGTGCACACCAGTGCCTAGGTTCACTGATTCTTAGCTCTGTAACACCACCAAGTTACTTAGCCCCTCAGTGCCTCTTTTGTCACCTGTAAAATGCGCATTATGATAATACCTGACGGCGGAATGAATACTTATAAAATGCTTAGGACAGTGCCTGCCACGTACTAAGCACTCAACAAAAGTTAGCTATGAAATTATTAACAGTTCCATTGTCCGCTTAAGGATCCTGAGATCCAAACAAGAAACTATTTCCATAGATCAAAAATGAACTACACTTTGTAAATCTCTCTAACATACAAATCCTGTATGAAGACATTTTTTTTCCTAATCTGTGTCTGTTTCTTTTGTGATTTGCTTCAAAGTAATGAGAAGGATAAAGGGGACAGCTGAAAAATGACTGATCATTAAGTTGATAATTAACCAATGTGCGATGATGAATAGAACAGGGTAAATTTTATTACTTTATGTAAAATTTGTATTAGAAATAGTCGAAGGGAAATCTTAATATTTTGTGCTTTACAATTAATAAGCAATTATCCTCCTACTTTTCCTGCGAAGTCACTTAAATTCTCACACTGCTTTTTCAAACAGATGAACCATTCAATAATTAGAAATAAGACTAAATACCTAGGCATGTCATATATACTTGTAATTCCAGCACTCTGGGAGGCTGAGGCAGGAGCACTGTATATTTAAGCCCAGCCTATGCAACTTGGTGACTTATCGAGACACTAAGTCAAAATAATTTAAGGGGTGAGGGACTGGGGATGTAGCTAGGGCAAAGGTCCTGAGTTCACACACAAAAAAAGTAAAACTAAATAAGGTATTTTGGACAGAGCATTTTCCATTGTGTCCTACTAGTTCTTCAGAATACTGCTACTTCAGTACAAGGAAGCTAGTTTAATTGATCTTCTGTTTGTTTGTTTGTCTTGGGTTTCTGAGACAGTATCTAGTTACATAGTTCAGGCTGGCCTTGAAATCATAATGTAGCCCAGGCTGACCTCAAACTCTAGGCAATCCTCCTGCTTCAGCCTCCAAAGTGCTAGGATTACAAGAGTGTGCCACCATGGCCAGCAGGCTCAATTGATCTTACACTGATTAGGACTGTAATTTCCACCTATACCCAAAACGAAGTTTTGCTGTAATTATTCTGAATACTCATGATCTTAATACTATCATCTGCACCATTGCCGTAAGCAATAATTTGAATATTTTCTATGTGCTAGTTCCTATGTTAAAATGTATGTACTATCTTCTTATATCTAGACTGCTCTAGATCCTCTAAGTGATCATTATCTCTACTTACAGATGAAAAATTAAGGTTCCCAGTGATTAAATAAGAGTTTAAGATCTTATGTTTAGTTCTAAAGTCTGTATTTTTTTTACTTTTCCATGCCAATTCTCACTTTACATTAAAATGGGAGAGAAAACTGAAGTATAAAAATAAAAATCTTGGGCCAGGGATATAGCTCAGCGGTACAAATGCCTGCCTGGCAAGCATAAGATCCTGAGTTCTATTCCCGGTACCAAAAAAAAAAAAAAAAGAAAAGAAAGAAAATCTGGTCAAGTTTTACATCAAAACGTAAGGGCCACATCCTGTATATGAAGATAACCATTCTTGTAATACCTTCTACTAAATTATATTTCCATCTGACAAACAAAACCAATTCCCTTCTCCAAGTTTTTGATTAATTATTAACCTCACATGGTTTTTTCATAACATTATCTTGGCAAATATTTACTGATTGCTTACTGCACGCTAGGCATTGTTCTAGGTGCTTTGGGTTACAGCAGCAAACAAGAAAGTCCTGCCAGCTTATGGAGGAAAATAAACACATAACAAATAAGATAGTTTCATGTACAGAAAACAGAACAATGTGACAGCAACTGCTGGTGAATAGGGAAGACTTCCTGTGGACGCAATATCCAAGGTTAGATCCAAATGCTGAGAAGGCACAATCTGAAGCAGCCCAAGAAGCAAACAAAGCAGACAGCATTGGCTCTTTATACCACAGTAGAAGTTTAGAACTTAACCCTGTTGCATCAGATACCACTGGAAAACTTTAAAGCAGGGAAGCATGGCCAGACATGGTGGTGCATGCCTGTAATCTCAGCACTTGGGAGGCTGAGGCAGGGGCACTGCTATGAGTTTGAGGCCAGCCTGGGCTACATTATAAGTTCCTGGCCAGCCTGAACTACACAGTGAGATGCTGTCTCAAAAAACCAAAACAAACAAATAGGTCTAACTGTAAAGAATTATAAAATTAAATGAAAATGAGACTCAATAGATATGCTTTCCATTCTACCCTTCACTCAGCTGAGTATTTCTCTCAAAAGGCTTTATTTACAAGATATAGGGAGCTGGGGATTTAGCTCAGCAGCACAGTGCCTGCCTGGCAAATGCAAGGTTGTGAGTTCGATTCCCGGTACCAGAAGAAAAACAAACAAAAACGGAAAAACAAAAAAACAAACAAACAAACAAAAAAGGACTACATCCTGTTCTGATACAAGATAGAGCCGGGCGTGGTGGAGCACACCTGCAATCCCAGCACTCGGGAGGCTAAGGCAGGAGGACTGTTGCGAGTTCGAGACCAGCCTGAGCTACAAAGTGACCTCAAGGCCAGTCTGAACTCCATAGCGAGACCCTGTCTCAAAAAAAAAAAAAAAAAAAAACCACCAAGACAGATTATATTCATTAAATAAAAGCATAAAATAATTACAATTTCTTTTTCTTTTTGAGACAGGGTTTCACTATGCAGTTCAGGCTGCCCTTGAACTCACTTTGTAGCCCAGGCTGGCCTTGAACAGTGATCCTCCTCCTTCAGCATCCTAAGTGCTGGGATTACAGGCATGTACCACACCATGCCTGGCCAACTACAAATTATTCTTAACCATCTTAGAAAGTTAAATTCCATTTCACCATGGTAGAAAACAGTACCAGATTTTAAAATCATTTAACTATACAGACTATATAGAACATACTTCAAATTCAGCACGGCCTTCCTAGAACAATTTTCACTTTTAATATCAACCAAGGAAATAAGTTCAGGCAACGTAACAACAATGGCAAAGGCAGAAAAGTCTAGCTCTCATGTATCTCATTATTGCTGACTACAAAAAAAAATGCTAATTATCATTTATGATCCCACAAGGCAAGGATGGGGAGTAACCCATTCTTGCAAATGATGTAACCAGAGTTAAAGACAGAGAGCCCAAGCCAGGCATGGTGGCACACACCTGGAATCACAGCACTCAAGAGGCTGAGGCAGGAGGACCATGAGTTCAAGGACAGCCAAGGTTACATAGCCAGTCTGAGGCAAGCCCAGGTAATTCATTGATTTTTTTTTTTTCCGTCTCTTTGAGACAGGGTCTCACTATGCAGTTCAGGTTGGCCCTGAGCTCACTTTGTAGCCCAGACCAGTCTCAAACTCGGAAAGATCCTCCTGCCTCAGCCTCCCAAGTGCTGGGATTACAGGTGTGTGCCACCATGCCTGGCAAGCTCAGGTAATTTAACAAGACCTTGTCTCTAAATAAAGTGAATTTAAAAAGAGGTGGGATAACATGCAGCTCAGGTGTAGAGCGCTTGCTAGCACGTACAAGAACCTGGGTTCAATTGACCAACTGGGGTTGGAGTGGGGGAGACACCAAAACTGAAAGATAGAAATGGTACTCACTTCAGCAGCACATATATACCAAAAGTAGGAAATGTAAAATGTTTGCATAATTTAGTAAGAATCTTTTAAGAGAGGGTGCAGAATATGTTCTCATGCTCTCATTAGCACTGCTTGCTACCAGGGGTGTACGGTAGGTTAACCATTATTATACAAAGTTAATAGGAAAGCCAAATCCTAAGTATACCATTTTATTGAGTAACCTTTAGCAACTTTTTTTTTTGAGACAGGGTCTTCCTATACAGTTCAGGTCCAGGCTGTTCTCCAACTCTAGCAACTTGACATTTCTATTTTTTTCTTTTCTTTTGGTGGTACTGGAGAGTGAACCCAGCACCTTCACACTAAACTACATCCTTAGTGCCCCCTCCCCTCAGCCCTTTCAATTTTCATACTGGGTCTCAGTTGCTGTATTGCCCAGGTTTGGGTTGAACTTGTGATCCTTCTGCCTCAGCCTCGGAGAGTGCTGGGATTACAGGTGTGTGCCACCAAGCTGAGCTGAAACTTTGGCATTTCTGAACCTTAATTTCCTCACTTATAAGCCAATGGTTTTTTTTTTTAAATCTAGTAAATTATATTATAAAATATAGCCGGGTGGCACATGCGTGTAGTCCCAGTACTCGGGAGGCTGAGGCAGGAGGATCACTGTGAGTTCAAGGCCTGCCTGGGCTACAAAGTGAGCTCAAGGCCAGCCTGAAGCGCACAGCACGACCTTGTGTCAAAAAGACAAAAATAAATAAATAAACAAACAAACAAGTAAAATATAATGAAATGAGTGGACGGTTAGCAGATAATGAATCTTGATGGGGTGATTGTTAGCATATTTACATTACAAGTTCTAATTTTCTCTTATGGCCAGAAACTTTTTTGATCTGCCACTGGTAAACAAATTGCCTATCTTATGTTTTCTCCGCTACCTTCTTAGCATTACTATTCAAAGAACAACAAAACATCTTTTTAATACTAAGCTTAAATGAATGGTTTGAAGCTTTGAACCTACCATCTTGCAAGCTTCATCAATCTGCTTCCTAAAAGGTAAACACACAAGTCAAAACACTACAGAGGCAATGGCAGAACTGGAATAAGAATAACTGGATGACCAGTTTCACTGAAGACATGGCAGACAGAAGCAAACCAGAGAATTCAAATAGGTATACGGTATATGGAGCTAGGGTTAACTCTTGTCTGTTTCACCAAGAACTGTGAAGTGACCTCCACATTTCCTCCTGTAAGATTTTAAATCTTAGCTGGGCATGGCGGTGGCACGACTGCGATCCCAGCCCTCGGGGGCCAGGCAGGAGGATCACTCTGAGTTTAAGGCCAACCTACACTACATAGTGAGTTCAAAGCTAGCATGGCCTACATCAAGAGACCCTGACTCAAAAAATCCCGCAAAATAAATAAATAATAAATAGATTTCAAATCTTTTACAACATCCATGTTTTAGTATATTTCTGTAGTAAAGCAACAGGGGGAGGGGGGTAAGATTCAGAAAAGCAACAGAGGAAGAAGTATTATTATATAGCCTAAAAAGCGTATTTCCCGTTTCGGGTAGCTACGAAAACCAACTTAATTCTGTAAAGACGCACTTCTGTCGATTAAAAAGTAGCCAGGGATGCTTTGTGCGTTAAGCTACGAACGACGCTCCCGGGACAACACTCCAGGCACCGAGGGTGCTTCCGCTCAGCGCCGGCGGGTCTGCGCTTTCCCGCAGCGCACACAGGCGAAGGCGAGCTGGGTCTCCGCGGCGCTCGCGCTGCCTCGGGGCGCTGCTCGCGGCAAACCCGCCCTCACGGCGCCTCCAAGCTTCGGGCACGCTCGCGCGGACCCGCTCTCCGGGGGCCACACGACGAGCGTCGGCGCGGCGAGAGCCGCACGGCGGGGCAAGCGTCCCAGCGAGGCGAGCGCCCCGAGCAACCGCTCAGCCCGCAGCTCGTCCCCGTCGGCAACGGCGGGAGTCCCAGCCAAGGCCTAGGCGAAACCAACGGCCGCGGCCGCTCCGCGCAGGTTCCGCGAAGCCGGTAACGCGCCTCAGGGCTCTGAAACGGAACACGGAAACCCGGGCCTGGCCCAACGGCCACGGTCAGCCCAAGCCCCGGGCCCGCGCCCGGGCCCGCGCGTAGGCCGCGTCCCCCTCGCCCCGCCGCGGAGCCCCACACTCACATCTCCGCAGCCACTTCATCCAGTGGTACACGATGGTGCTGTGGTGTTTCTTGTTCTCTATGCACCACGACGACAGGCCTTGAATGGATTCCATCGTGTTGGTTACCGACTGGAACTTTCGATCCAGCGAGGACTCCAGGGCCCCCGCCGAGGAGGCCGACGAGGAGGAGGCCTTGCTGCTGCCTCCGCCGCCGCCGGCCGCCATCTTCCCGGTTTGCACAAGCGCTGCTGCTCCGCGGCGGCGGCGGCGGCGGCGGCGCGGGCAGAACAATCCCGCGAGCGCGGGGCGGTGGGTCG